AAGAGAAAGAGAAAGAGAAAGAGAGACCGCGATCCATTTCTCAAACTCGCTTGCCAGGCTCTCCCTGTGCCTAGCAGTGGCATCCGAGTGCTCAACGAATGAGTCGGTTTGCCACAGGCGGATGTGCTGCTGTTTTTTTGATTCCCCAGTTCGTGTTGGCTTGTGGGAGATCGCAAGTGGGTCAGGAAACGCAGAGGAATACTATGCCCTTTCATGGCGTCTTTTTTGAGTGAGGTAGTCCTTCAGAGATTCGACACGCTCGCTTCATACATAGAGTCGGAGTTACTGCCCCAGCTGCCTTCGGCCTTGTACCTTTGGTCGCTGCCTTTTTCGAGGCTGAGTGTTGCTCCATGCAGGAGGGCGTTGAGTGAGTAGACACAAGCTTGTTACGTACAGGCGCATTCCAGCCGAATGCAACAGAACATGAGTCTCAAGCTTGCAGGCTTGAGCATCGTTTGGTGATGATAACCCGGACCCTGCTCGTTGGAACCGCACCAATCGCCAGACTCTTTTCCAAACTTCCATGTTTCCCAAGCATATCCTCACTGCAGTCGACCATGCTGGGGAGAGTTCTACAGCATGGCTGAGGCACAGGGAACCGGAAAGAGATTTCGTAGCCTTGTCAGCCGAGTATGAAGATTTCAGGCAAGTGCGGGACTTGTTGAGCACTTGAGCCATGTACTCGAATAGTGAGCTTAACTGCTAGGATCCATACCCGTCAGAGATTTTTGAGGTCAAGGAACCACGGTATGATTGAATCTCACGTTTTTTTGGCCAAGAGGCCGAGATGGAGGCCGGACACATGGCAGGCCACGGGCTTGGAGCTTGCCTGGATTTCAAGACCTAGACCCTAAACCCTTAAAAAAAAACCCTCAGGTTCTTTTGGATCAGGAGCGCAGGAATTCCATGCTATGCTGCGCAACTTTGTGAGAGATTGTTTGCAGGCCGCAGGTTCGAGTACTGTCTCGTTGGCCAGGTAGATACTGCATCTGGGTGGTCGCATGGTGTGTAAAGATGCTTTAGGAGACAAGAAGCTGACTGTTGCCTGGATTTTGCGTTTTTTTTTTCAGTGCCAGCTCCAAGGAGGCAAGGGCACTGACTGACAAACCCCCAAAACCATGCTTCGGCACCCACCGGACCCCACCCGGCTTTGGACACTCAAACCACACCAGCGCATCGACCTAAACACCAAAGCCTGCACCGTTTTGGTCGTGAATCCTGTTTAGCCGACCTCAGCCCCAGAGCCGTAGTTGGCGACGGCAGGGCCCCGCCACCATGCGCCGAACGGCAAGGGCCGGCCAGGGCAACAGAAGGGTGCACGCCGGCCGAAGGCTCGGACCAGATGGGTAATTCGGTTGCGTTTGCACCTCACGTCTCGTGGTATGTAATAGCAAGTAGAGCAACATTCCTCGAACACTCTGGTCTAACTCGGAGCCCGAGACTTAAGATGCTAAACCCTCAACCCCAAATCCTGATCAAACCCAGTGTTAAGTTGTTAAAAGCCCTGACACCCCAAGTCCAGACCCCTCAATCCAGCTCTACGCTACGCGACGACCGCATGCAGAGATGCTCCAACTCCCAGAATCCACTGGCACGGGTCATTGCTCAGTCCGACCTTGCGGCAGCTGTTCAACCCTGTCCCCAAAACCATAGAGAGGTAGGTCTAAAGAATAGCTGGAAACCCGGTGTAGTCCCTTTATAGCTATACTACTGGCACAACTACAGTCAAGCCTCTTATCCCGCAGAGTAGCCCAGGCAGGTTACCATGTTTTTCTTGGCATCCCTGGCAAAGTAGTTGGTTTAGGACTTCAGCGGTTTCGGGGTCAGGGTCCTGCAGAAGAATCTCCACAGAGCCGGATCTTATGTCCTGCTGCGCAACACCTGAAACTTTCCTCTTCTGTCCCGAGATTTGGGGGTGAATGGGGAATGCAGCGTAGGATGTTAGGGTTCAGGGAGCCTACGAAGGCAGAGCTCAGAAGCCCCGAACCCTGAACATGCAACAGGAGCCAGTCGCCAGCGCTTACGACACGGAGGAGGTTGGCAACCTTGCAAAGGCTGAAGCGCAAGTGTATCTAGGGATTGTGCGAGTGTATATACTGTAAAGACTTCGTGGCGGTTTTGTGGTTTACGGCGGCTTCAAGGGCCTATAGAGCTCATTGGGTTCACAGGGTGGGAGAGTGAGGTCTATTTTGGGATTTGGAAAAAGTGCCTTTCAGTCAAGTTGCCAGAAATTTCGGGCAGCTGGGCTTAGGGTTCAGGGTTTTCAGGTTTAGAATCCCGGTCTAGGGGGCTTAAGGTTTCAGGTGGCACCTTGAAACATGTGCTTTGACAGCCCTTCTGGCCGAGTGTTTCTGTCCCTCTTGCTGGAGCCTGACATCACAGCTCACCGGACTGGAGCCCCCTGAAGCTGAATGACCCTTTAAACGCTTAAATACTAGGTTTCCGCAGTGGTATCCGTTTGCTCGTAAGAAATGGTTCTGGGGGTCTTCATTCAAGCTTAAACATGGGACAGAGGGTTTCTTCGTTACGAAGCAGCTGCTGTGGAAGCCAGGTTCTGTTCCGTGGGAAGCCACAGAAGAACTAGGTTCTGTCTGGTATGTGCTGCTAGGGTCTCGTCTGAGTTTAGGGCCCAGTCCCAAAGCCGTGTAGAGGGTCTAACTTGTACCAAAATCGTCCTTACAGTTCCGATACATCTGCATCTTTGGTATAGCCGAAGCCACAACCTAATCATCCAACTTCCCTTCTAGAACCCCTAAACCCTGAACTCTACACCCTAAACCCTAATCATCCAACTTCTCTTCCAGAACCCCTACACCCTGAACCCTAAACCCTAAACCCTAATCATCCAACTTATCTTCTAGAACCCCTACACCCTGAACCCTAAACCCTAAACCCTAATCATCCAACTTCCCTTCTAGAACCCCTAAACCTTGAACCCTAAACCCTAATCATCCAACTTCTCTTCTAGAACCCCTACACCCTGAACCCTAAACCCTAAACCCGAATCATCCAACTTCCCTTCTAGAACCCCTAAACCCTAAACCCTAAACCCTAAACATCCAACTTCCCTTCTAGAACCCGTAAACCCTGAACCCTAAACCCCAATCATCCAACTTTTCTTCTAGAACCCCTACACCCTGCCTTAAACCCTAATCATCCAACTTCCCTTCTAGAGCCCCTAAACGCTGAACCCTAAACCCTAATCATCCAACTTCCCCTCTAGAACCCCTAAACCCTAAACCCTAATCATCCAACTTCTTTTCTAGAACCCCTACACCCTGAACCCTAAGCCCTAAACCCGAATCATCCAACTTCCCTTCGAGAACCCCTAAACCCTAAACCCTAAACCCTAATCATCCAACTTCTCTTCTAGAACCCCTAAAGCCTAAAGCCTAAACCCTAAACCCTAATCATCCAACTTCCCTTCTAGAACC